TAAATTAGTCTTTAAAGCAGCTAATGGTGTCTGCTGGGTCAAAGAATAAACACGGAAGTTCACAAACACAGGTTGAGCTTGGAAGATGAGGGATGGAGATATTGAGTGTGTGTTTGTGACTTGTGCATGGGTGTATAGATAATGCCTCTCTTGTCAGCCTTTGTCGAGTTTATCCCTCGAATAAAAGAAAATATGACTGGGAGGTGAATATAACTAGGACAGAATCATCCTTTATATCCTCAAAGACACTTTTTTTGTCAAACGCTGAGCTGTAGCTCTGCAAGGATTCATTGCATGCATGCTAAAGCAGCCATGCGCTCATTTAGAGGCTAAATCTGCACTGCATGCTTGACCATTTGTTTTCACTGTAATGAAACGTCTGTTCATTTTTCAAACGCATTCCATTCATTTGCCATCCGATATTGGCTCCATTCATATTTAGCGTCAGTGGTGACGAAAGCTGCGACTCGCCGTTAGCGATGTCCACCAGCGTTGCTTTGAAGAAACATTCTTATGATGCATAGATAGCAGAACGATTGTTAATAGCATTAGTGTGATGATACCACCGTTAAAAATTGCAGAACACTCGCACAAATGCAAGATTTTTATCCTCCCAAAGGAAAGAAAAATCTCAAATCAAGAAAACGACAGCAGATATGATACCTTTAAAGCATGCAATCCGACTTTCCCAAAGAGCCAGTAGGAGTTGTATCTATACTTTTATCTTTATTTTTTAATTATTATATTATCATCTGCAATATGCATAACTAAGTGTTTATATGGGTGTGGCATGCATTATTTAATGGATGACACACCTGGCAGGTGTTTTACGCACACACATGCATAGCAATGTATGTACACTCCTTTATTTACAGAAACACAGAATGATATCTGTGGAAAAATAACACAGCAAATGATATTGTTAAGAGATTTACATGCCCTCTGAGAAATGTGTGCCAAAATGCAAATACAGTCGAACTCGAAACCCCTGACTATAATCTTCTCTTCTCTTCTCTTCTCTTCTCTTATCTTATCTTATCTTATCTTATCTTATCTTATCTTATCTTATCTTATCTTATCTTATCTTATCTTATCTTCTCTTCTCTTCTCTTCTCTTCTCTTCTCTTCTCTTCTCTTCTCTTCTCTTTTCTCTTCTCTTCTCTTCTCTTCTCTTCTCTTCTCTTCTCTTCTCTTCTCTTCTCATACAATATCAATCCATAGCATCAAATGCTGCATAAGCTTTTCATAGAAAAACTTCACTTTTCTGGGGTATTTTTGCTATGACTTGTGATATTTTGCTTAACGAGAGGGCATGCATCTTTCTTAAAAACTAATGCTGCTGGTTTGATAGGTTGTTAGGTAATAACATTTATACACACTGAACAAATTTGATGTATTTGGTGAACAATTTTCACTCAGAAATGGCTAGTAAATGTCACAAAGAATTCCAAAGTAACTTGTTGAATTAAATTTTTTTTTTTACAGTGCATTTTACATGCAAATAAAGTGTCTAAATATTTCTGGGGCCAATTTATCTATGCTAAGTATGGAGAGCGTTCATCATTTCAAGATGCCTGTGCTTCTGTTGTTTGTGTGTGGGGGGTCCCGTCTATCAGGTTTATCAACTCCGCAGGTAAACATTAAAGAGGTATTATTCTATTGGCAGCACTATCAAAGTACACACACAGCCTCAGTCAGCCCGCGCCTGGGGGAGGAGAGGGTGTGGTTTTTCTCATGAAAGATGCCATCAACGCAACATATCTGACAAAAGTAGAATACACAAAAAACACACACACTTCAATCTACGATTGTGGCAAACATGCACATTAGTTTTCAGCATTATGGGACGGTCACTTAGCCGAAATCCAATTATTTTGCTCATATGTGACTCAGATCTGTTTTTCTCATGACAGTGTGAACAGCACAAACCACATGGAATCTGATCTTTTCAATTCTGATTTGGGCCACTTCCATAAGTGGTCCTAAATCTGATACAGATCAGATGTTTTACAATGCAACATCAGTCTGAACAGTCATATCGGAATGCATGCGACTTTTACGTCATTCGTCACGATTTATGTCAGCAACATTCATCACAATTCTGCACTAATGGAAGTCACGTCAAAGATTTAACATACCTGAAATTATCAAGACTATTGTGAAAGGTAGTCAGTGAAGGACAGTCTCAGAACTCATAAGTATAACATTGACAGCTCTATATGCAAGCAAAACATGAGGGCTCGTTTTATAAATGTTTAAATGCACTCCTTTTTCGCATCCTCGTCTTAGTTTTTTTATATTGCCTGCGCATAAATTCGCTGGCTTCCATGGCAGATCACACTATAAATAAATGCGTAGTCTCTTACTTTAGTGCCCTATGACAGCCCTATTCCATATGACAGCATGCTTTTAATCATTCTTTTGCGCATGCGGCGGCGGCCGGGTCACTCCAGGACCATGATATGTTCGCACTGGAATCTGATTTTGGCCACATTTAAAATAACAATGTGAACAGCTATACAAAAAAATCAGATCTGACTGAACAACAAATCAGAATTGAGCACTAAGGCTTGCAGTGTAATTCCAATCACTTCCATACACTTGCAGACATGGGCAGGTATTTTTGCTGGGTTTCATTTTGCATGACGGAAAAAAATTATTGATAGGGGATCAAAACATCACAGATTATAATTATTTATCATTTATTGTTAATAAAAACAGTCCTCATGTCCTGTCTCATATTCATTGCGGAGTCTGAAGTAATTTGGCATACTCCAAGTCTAATGTAACCGCACCATAACCACTCACACAATTTCCCTGCATTGTGTCTGAAGCACCTGTTCAGTGATAGTTGAGTGAGCGCAGGCTACAGATCAGGCACGCTGTGGCAATGTGACCCGCTCTAAAGAATCATTACAAGCCAAATGTCAGTGAGCCAACATGATAAATATGACATGCATGAGGAAATCTAGCATTACACACGTAACAAAAAGATAAACAAAGCGCCGGATTGAACCAAAAGGGATTTTTGCATGTACTTTGCATTATTACATGCCATTGCATTTTACAAAATATAAAACCAAGTGGCATTTGCTCAAGTGATGCTAGAGCTTTTCACAGACCTAACTGGGCACCACGATTTTTACCACATTTCAAACATTCAAAGGAAAGAAAAAAAATGTATAAAGAAAATTAAGCCAATTTTTAGGACCATAAGAATCGTTTGCATCATTTGAATGACTATAAAGCAAATTTTCTCTCAAAATAAGTTCTCATTGCTGTAATACAGTAAAAAAAAAAAAAAAAGTATAAATATATACAATTGTACAAATGTATTATAATAAAATATTATATATTTAATATTTTTTATTAATTTAATATTTTTATTAGGAAAAATATTTTTTTTTTAGAATTGGCAGGAGGATGTGCTTAATTGTCAAAAAAATATTTTGAAATGCAAACAAATAAATAAAATATTCATTCTAACATTAGGGTTTCTCTTTGAATAAAAATCTCCTTCATGAGATTCACCCAACATCACTTTTTTGGATGTATGAAGTCAGTTCACCTCAAATTCACCCAGGTGTCCTAGCAGAGTAACCACAGGTGTAGTTCATCACATTAACTATGGACATCTTCCACTAGTATTTGCCCACCACAAAGTTTTAAAAAGTTTACAAAAACTGTGGTTTTGCTTAAAACATGTACTTGTGCTATAAATGCCACTTGGTTTGATATTTAGTGCAATTAAATAAATTCATTAGTGTCCAAATTATTTTTGGGGGGCAAGTGTACGAACAAATATGACAAAATGTAAACAGCAGCACTGACTTCCCTTTATCTCCCGCTCTCTCTGGTTGTGGTCGCGGCTGCATTAGTGTTATGGATCTGTACCCCTAGCAGGCGTTCAGTGCTGTGTTAATTCAGCGGCTCTAATGCGGTCAGGCACTGCTGACCCCGCTGGTCAGAGAGAGTGGCCACTTTCATTGAACCCTCTTTGTTTGCGGCTCAGAGACGCACCCTCACTCTCTGTGCCCGAAAGGCTTAATAACACACCACAACTGACATCTGAGGTTGGCAACCATCTAGACCACGAAGGACTGTTCGCTGTTTAATATTAACACATGCTGCTGTGCAGGTATGTATAAACCCAAACACGAGAATACAGGGAGACATCGAAACCAACACTTACTCACAGAAATACACTGCACGGTACATTTTGGGAACACACACACACATACAGTTGCTCTATTCCCTGGTATCATCTGCGGATGACTCATAGGTCTTTTAAAGCCGTCGGTGTTCTGCAAATAGTTCAAATACTCGTCGCCCCTTCTGAATACTCCACCTAACATAGTATAATATCAACACTATAACGTATCTTCACCCATTTAGCTACAAAATGCAACGTAGTGTGCAATAATAAACCTACCAGCTATAATACAGAAAGAAAAACTCCAGGCACAAACAGATTATCTAATCTGTTTTACTTGGCACATGTTCTAAAGACTGCTCAGGTTGGTTTTTACTTCAGTAAATAACACGGTATAAAGCAGACACAAAAGAAGAGACTATCTCATCTCATATCACTTCCTTAAATACTTTCCCCCGCTATGAAACAGTGCTTCCTTCACCGCGAAAGAAATGCAATTTCAACAGAGTTGTGATTTGCAGTCTAGCATGAAATGATATGCAGACAATACATCAATAAAGCCGACAACACATCTTTCTTTGCATACTGCACTGGTTTCATGCACAAAGAAACACACAGCATGACCGGTGAAAGTCCAGATCACATTGGTTCTTTAACCAATCAGTTCAAATGACTCATTGAATAATTCTAATACTTGACAAAACACGTCATTCGAGTTCAAGAAAATTGTCATGCAAAAAGGTGGTTACCAAACCAAGATAATGTTGTCATTGTTAGCGCTTCTGGAAACAATCATACACCTCGCTTAACACTCTTTTTGATAGTCGCTCAGGGGAATTGTACTCACGTCTTGGCTCTCGAGGTCCGTCCACTGTGACTTTAATAGCGCGGTGGTATGTGGCGACCTGGGGTGGGCCAGTGAACACTGTGATGGTCAATGTGAAGCTCTTTCCTGAGGATGACAGGAAGACACAGAGATACAATGTCACTTGTCGGTTTTAAAAGGTACTGACATGATCACATCAAAAGTATGAGACCACAGAAATAAATTCATTTAATCCTAGAAATAAGCATAAACATTCTCGAATCAAGCTTATTAACATGATCAAGTTTTGTTAATGTAGCTTGCTGTTGTCGGAGGCATTCTAAATTAATAAAAGAAAAATTTAAATCAACTTTCCTCTGAAAATATTATACATATAATAAAATGGGTTTAAAAAAAAATGAGAAAACAGAGCAAATAAGAAGCAAGTGGTCTCAGATTTTTCAACCCCATGCGCTGTTGGTATGTTGAGTCAGATTGAGTGTAGCAGAGAGAAACATGGAAAGTATTTGTGGTTTACAATACCAAATATTGTGCAGTCAGTATTTTAGCAATGTGCCGATGACTAAATAATGTTCAAATTACATTTGCACATTTTTTCTTGGTTTAATCTGGAAAGTGGCGCACAGGACTATCTATGTATGAGTTTTTTTCCATTGTAAAAAATGACTATGTTAAGGTATAACCTAGCTAAGGTATAACTAAAGTTGCCTATACCGGAAAAGAAACTCCCATAGGCTGCATGAAATAAAAGATTCATGCACAATCCCAGTGAGGTGGGTCACATACAGCTGGGAGAAATGAATGAGTTTCCTCTGAAAAGAGACAGCACTACAGCTTTGATGCGCTTTCAAATGCGTTTATGATGTGGATTAGTCAGACAATGTGTTCCAGATTGTTCCCGGGACTCCGCTGTGTCTGTGTGCATGTGTGTGTGTGTGTGATCTCTAAATGCAATGAAGCTGCGCTTTGAGGGGGAGAAAGCCGTGGCTTGTATGAGGGCTATGAGGGTGGGGTAATTGACTGCAGAAATGAAAGGTACTTTTAATTCGCACACTGCAGCGCTTTCCACTCATCCGTCTGCAACTATTTAAAGTGAAACATTTACAGGAAAAATGTGAGTGCGAGGAGCGGGGCCAAGAGGAAAAAGACGAGAAGGAAAAGCTTGTGAAAGAATGTGAGCTATGTAAGAGGTAGGGTGTTTTTAGGTGTGTAAACAAGATGGTTTGTAAAGCTCAAATCGTTTCAGAAAATTCTGCAGTGGGGAAATTATTTCTCTGGGACAAGTAACTGAAGGATGCTGTTTTAGCCTTTGCTCCACAACTCCTTGGCCTATTTGTTGACTAAATCTTCATTACAAGTTTAAATGCATGGCAGTTTATGCATTTCAGGAGTTCTGTCTTTGTATGAATTAAGAAAAATTAGCTGCTATGCTTTAAATTAATTTCTTTTTTTTATCACAATGATTTTGGATTTTAGCAACACGCATGCATCAGATCACAGACAGACAGATAAACAGATTGGTAGATGTGGCACCTCTCCCGCTCCTTCCCACGAAGCGCAGGTCGTTGAATCGCGCCACCTGGTTCTTCATGACGGCAGACGCGTTTCTCAACTCCGCGGAATAATTCTCATCATTTCCCGCCATCACCGTAACCAGAGTCCCGTCAGGAACATCACCTAGTGCCACCACCTGATAATAAACACACAGAGAAACCCAACAAACCTAATCAGCAACACAAACAAACCCAATAAACCCCAAACCCCAAACCAAACAAGTCCGGGTTGCAAGTTGCAATCGCACAAATAATTATTACAACATAATCTTGCTCATATAAAGGCGTAGCCTACACTGAAATGCATTTAATATTTAGATTTTTGAATAGCTCTGCGAGAACATCGCTTCCTTCAGATATAAATCTGTAAGAAGCTATTTTATTTAAATTACTTTTGACAATTTCACGGTTGTGTTTGGCAAATGAAATTAATAGAATATCAATATCAATTGCATACAGCCGAATAATAATAGATTATCTTCGCAAATAAAACATTATAACCTAAATGTCGTTGTTGCGATAATTATAAAAAATATTGCATTATTTCCAATTAAATAAAAATAATAAAAATTCCATGCAGAGAAAAGAGAAACATGTGCCGAATTGTCTCGTGATTTGTTCAAATTCTGTTCATATTATCAGACAAGCAGAATATGTCACCACGCTGTCAAAATAAATAAATGAAAAAATTTGAAATAGGTCAAATAAATAGATAAAATCGGCAAGCAGTGTTTGAATTATTCAGTGACGTTCAGGTAAATTGACTTTTTAAAGGATTTTTTTTTTAATCAGTAGCCTAACTGGTAAACTTGGCTCCCGCAAAATGTATTTTGGCGCCCCTATAGTTAACCACACGTCAACTATCTTACAGATATTTAAAAAACGCATTTTGCTACCAGATAATGATATATATAGATGTAAAAATTTATTATAAAAAATAGTACTTGATTTGTTGATGTTCCTATCCTATGATTCTAACGGAAAACGCTCGCGCAGTCTGCTGTTGCTATGGTTATCTCTTCAGGAGAGCGCGAGCAGGAGCTATTTGGCGCTTGTTGACTGACTTTTTAATCTAGCCCGTGAAATAAGTTATATTACAGAAAAGAATTTACCTTAAAAGCCACAGGCAGAGTTTTGTTGCACCTCCAGTGTGACGGCAGGACCGAGCAGAGAAAGTTTGGGCTGTCCGTGCGCACCAGCTCTCCGGCGTGATCGGCCAGCACGTCCACCACGGAGCGGGTCTCCACGGGCCGCCCGGACCGCAGCGGACCCGGTGCGTTCATACCCGGGTTATCGGTCACTTTAGGGCACGGGAACGAGGCGGAGGGCGGCGTGAACCGTCTGCTCGTGGTCGGGTCTACGGGAATATGCATCACAACAGATTACAAGTGAGACCCCGCGAAGAGCTCAGGCACCCAAAGTGAAGTAAGTACAGAAAGTCCGTGGCAGTGGACCGGGAAAACTCCTCCGTGACCTTTTACTTTGCGTTTCAGTGCCGCACAAAGGATGCAGAAGCGTTAAAGTGCGCTCGAGTTTCCCACTGACTTCAGCAAAAACCAAAAACCGCAAGCACACATACACACATACGCGCGCACACACTCTCGTGCTGCACGATAGAAGAGATATTAACTATGCCTCTCAAAGCATGCACGTATTAAATAGCATTTATTCCAGAGTGTGTGTACGGCAGGTCTGTGCCGCTCCTGGATGTCAGTTTTACTTTCAGAGCGACACTTTCCGTCCTATCAGTCCAGAGTCTCCGAAAATAAAGTCCAAACAAATTAATCCCAGTTTCAGAAGAGTTTCTGCAATAAAGTCCTCTTTAGTTGTCAAATGTTCTGTTTCCAAATGAATGTTCAAGCGTAAAAAGTGAGTAAAATCGAGAAAAACGTTTCTGGTAGTCAGACGTGCCTGTATGCAAAACGCGGCGCTCTGCGCTATGCAGACAAGAGTTATTTACTCATCTCATTATAGCCTGGAGTGCGCTGAGCGCTCCACCAATCAGCGATCAGGGCTGGGTCTAACCGACCAATCAGCGACCAAGGCTGGGTTTGATGCACTCATCAAACATGCCGAAGCAAAACTGAAAGCTCCTCTATTCGTATTAGCAATGTACTTAATGAACAATCAATAAATATTTGAACCCTCCCCTCACATGTTAAGGCACATAATGGATAGTCTGCCAGGTGTAACCTTTAAAAACCACAGACAAAAATTTTAATATTTTCTGTTGAAGTTATTTAGCCTGTTATTGAAGCTATGTCTGTGTGCCAGTTTATCTTTATTGTTTTTGTAAAGAAAAAACAATCCAAGAATAAAAATAGGTAATTAACCTTAATTTTTGCTTCAACAAATATAAAAAAAAAAATATAAGAGGCTAAAACAGCAGCATTAACAATAATTAAACACATTCAGTACCAACGTTACATTTTTTGATAACATTCAAACAAATATATTTTCCCATAAAAACTAATAATGTTGAGAAATTTCTATATCTTCCATGTATCTTGTGCTAAATTAATCGAATTAATGGGTTAGCCACATTATAACAGAACAACAATAATTATGATAATGTATTTTATAAGTCTCATATGGTATTTAATTATAATCTAATGAGTTCTTGTGTGGTTGACACACCCTGCGCTCACGCTGTCACCACTAGTAGGCGCATTTGTCGTTTAAAAACCTTCAGTGGCTCCCTTAAAAAGTGATATAAAGCAACATTAAACTGAACGGGAGGGAAAAAGACAGAGAGAGAAAGACAGAAAATAGACTGACAGAAATAAAGCGATTGTCGCAGTTACTGTTGGTCAGCTGATATTGCTAATGCATCTTTTTTTTTTATAGAGTTAAGCAGTTTTTCCGTGTCTTTCGATGTTATTCGTGATGATACAGACAATTTTCTCTAAAACTGACGCTAAAATCGCGACAATACAAATTAATTCACTGGCTGATTAACAGGTCATGCACGCATTGTTTCAGGTGAGAGTGCGGGAAAACAGATCTCTCACTCCACAAATGACCCGACAGCTAATAGGCTACAATATATAGGCTATATATTTCTTTTTTAATTTGGTTGTCAATGATTCGCAACACAAATTGAATAATTATTATTAAATGTTTAATATATATATATATATATATATATATATATATATATATATATATATATATATATATATATATATATAGCTACACACATTTTTCTTTATCACAATTTAAAAATGATTTATTGACTACACATAAAGCCAACAGAAATGTCTTTAGTAGTCATTTAGAATTTTAACAGTAATTCGTAATGGTCATTAATATTATTCTGATTATTTATTTGCTCGTTCTGCGCCGGACACCGAGAGTGTTTCAGCGTCGAGCTGTTATGTGCAGTGGGCTTGAGGTTTGACTCGTGCTGGCAGGATTCGAGCCAGAATTTTGCGGGTTTACATGCTAAAGATGAGCTCAGTTTGAAACCAGCGTTTGGTTATGAGAGAACATCCACTCACTTAAAACACAACGACAACAAACAAACAAAAACAAATACACGTGTGTGTGTGTGTGTGTGTGTGTGTGTGTGTGTGTGTGTGTGTGTGTGCTTAATAATTAGAATTAAATGCAATAAAAAAATAACAGCTGTGTAACTATAATAATAATAATAACTTTATTATTATTATTATCTGACTGTTATTTTTTCTGTTATCATATCATTAATGCTGTTATACCACTGATGTTTATCTTGATCTCGACGTAAGGAAATGTGAATAGTATAGAACAGAAGAGTCAAAGTCTCACCCACACTAATGGTCTAAGTGAGCAAAATATGCACATTATCCTACAGCTCAAGATCATTAGCATGTTTCATCAACATCTGCTCGGAGGATTTACATGTATCTTCCTCTTTTCAACGCCTTCACATTTCCACCCGCTCATTGCACTGCACTGAGTAATATTGTGCACGTTGACGTGTTGCACACAGACTAAACACTTTAAATAAAGCAGAATACTTTGATTAATCACAGCAATGCCTGAGTCACACTTTGCATCACAGTGTTTCTGTTAAATTACTAGAAAAATAATAATTTTTAATGAACAATAATGCATTTCAAATAGGCCTACATGAAGGGAATTGCGGCATTATATTGTTGCGCGCTTGTTCTTCTCAATAATTAATTAGTAATAGTAATATTATAGCAATGCCTATATAGCCTACAATAATATGTAGTAGCCTAATATGCTATAGTATAGAAATATATTCGTAGACAAATTTTAAACGTCTGCTAAATGATTACATGTATAAATATTTTTTTGGAGCGCAATCTGACTATATGATTAGTCTCGCGCCGCGTAAATGAGCTATGCTTTGGCGCCAGTTTTTTAAACGTCAGTCATCTATAATAAATAAAAAAAACTGTTAAAACCTATATACTTAGCTATAAAAAAAGACTAATACTTTCACAAGGACACTGCAACATAAATTGTTATTCTGAACACGATAGTGCCAAGAAACCCCCCAAACACAAGCTGGCCAGGGGTGGTTGTGGATGCATATATCGGTGATTTTTCAGCATCTGTTTATTATTAATATGTGACCGCACGCGCTCAGACTGACTCCGCGCGCCTGTCATATTCAGACTCCGCGCGCAGTTTCTACGGTTACAGTCGCGCAGCAACGTGTCCTCCCTAATGACGCGCGCCCCTCTGATATGCGATCTGAGTGAGGCGCGTGCAGCTTACAGCCCGCGTCAAATACACATCGAGTAATCAAGCGCTGAGGAATGATGTGAGTTCATACAAAGAGGCACGAGCCCTCAAAAACAGCCTCAAGTTCAAACTCAGAGACTCAGAGAGCACCCACATCATTCTTTACAAGGGTACAATGGGGTTAAATGCCTCCAGGAGTAAAAGATCCTTTTGATTTGATTTTCTCCCAAAAACACTAAACAACATCTAAATCCAACACAGCTCTTTCCTAAACCTGTTTGTCACTATGCATTGCTTAAACATCCTGATTCGTGACACTGCATGTAATGTCGTAAGGTTGTCTTTTTTAAGAGATTTCCCCTCGCTTTCAGACTTGAAAAAATGCAGACTATTATAAAATAAACTATTCATTTTAAAAAGTAAATGGTATGAAAGATTAAATGATCTGATGATTAAAGTAAAATCCCATATACTTTATTTTAGATAATTATGATGTAATAAACAAGGAAATTATTCTAAATAGTAAATTTTCTAAAATATATTAAAGTAATTGTTCTGCAAAAGACAAAAAAAACCCGCCGTTTTTGGCACAGGATCAATACAGTATGCCTGAACATCAACAAACTGCTTTCCATAATTGGGAGGGAATAGATTTATTGCAAAGGATGTGCAAATATGGCTCACACACACTGTCTGCTCCAATCATAGGACATTAATTTGTAATATACGCTTATACTAACACTGCAGCTCCAAGACATACACCCTACTAAAATAAAAACAATACTCATATAAAATACTTGAGGGCCAAAAGTGGTTAAATAAATGTAACATTGTTTAAACATTGCTGATGTGATTATTTTGGAGCATTTACTTAAATGTTATTCCAAAAATATCATGCATTTGTTGCAAATCACGTTTGACCATATCTACTCAATATACACCAGAGGCCTTCCGCTCCCTTCTGCCATCATCAAAACTTACATCGAAACAAATAATTTTGACACAAATTATGTTGCTCAATCAATATGTATATAAAGTATCTTGTATATCAATGGTCATATACTCTGAGACCTCAAAACAAAAGACATTTTCCTTAGGCTTTTCACCCCATTGAACCCTGTAACAAAGACGTTCACATGCCAACCTCTTTATCCAATAGCAAGTCAAAAATAACTTTGTATGTCTCAAAAGTTAATGATGAAAGCATGCACGCACACACACACACACACACAAATGAACCCACTTAGATTTCTTGCAAAAGCAGCACGACAGTCTGAAGAATACTGAATCAGAAGAAACCACAGATATTTGCCCAAAATGCTCTGGTAAAACATTACTTTATTAGTCATCACCCCTCGAACACACACACACACACACACACACACACAGAGGCCTCCATACCCACAGATAAAATCAAAACGGGGCATAAAATGCTGACATAAGTCTGTGTATTTGCTATCTACCCCCTTTGTGGGCGGCAGCACATTTCTGTACATTTACAAATTACAGAGGGAGCAAGTCTGGAAGCCGCAGAGAGCATTCCTTCCGTACAGTGTCTCCTTGTGTTTCAACTGTGGGTTTGTCTGCCTGAGAAAGCAGCACGGATGACCTGCAGTCAACTCTAAATCTCCCATTTACATGCTTGAATTTCAGCCCCACCTCATATCAGGTGTCCCTATGACATCATCACAGTGTCCTATCTAGAGTGCAATGCATCTTTGTGATGTCATCTTTTCATTTTCATTGCATGCAGCCAATACATTGTAAATAAATGTACATTCAAATGAGGAAAAAACATAAATGCACACTCATATTAATAGGATATGTAAACGCTCTCGGTGCTGAAGCTTAGTTTACCGTCTTTTGTCAAATACAGTGAAGCTTGTGGTGAATGATTCACTCTAAGCCATGATTTGTTTTATATTTTAAGTAAAGCATGTCAGATCAAAGCATATTTTGCTGATGGATGAATCTGAATTGTTATTGCACATAAATATTACAGATGACGGCATTCAAAGCGTATATGGATCTTTTCAGCGAATGTAAAACAAACAATTATTTTGTATTTCTGTCCAGAAGCGCTCACTCCGTCACAGAGCACAGAATTAAAGCCACATTTCCTCTCAGGAACTGTCTAGGATGAATAAACTTTAAAAGTCTCCAAAAAAACTCCTTACTCAATGAAATATCTGATGGGTTCAGATGACAGTGTCTGTCCATGACACCATCCTTCCGTTCTCAGTGTCTCATTAATTATTAAAGTGATAAGATACAAATACTAATTTGTGCTTCTTTTTTTTTTTTTGCACAGGTGAATGCACTAGAAGTATCTATTTTACAAGAAATGTTTCCGAACTAAGAATGCTCAGAGAAGTGTCATGTGACATAACACTGAAAATGCATAATGGAACGTGTCATCAAAACAGTCTGTTTTTCATGGAGCATGCAGGAAGTGTTTTACAAAGAGAGATCCGAGTTAATGTTTGCAGTTGAAAACTACTAAGATTTATTACGCTGTTAGGAATATTGAGACTCCGCAGCAAGAACTGTCTGAGAAAAATGTCTCCCTTGAGAAATAAATCAAATGCTGTTTTATGGAATGTCATTTCCTCTTTCAGTTGGATTTGGACTAACTTCATGGTGGTATAGTCGCCCTCCTGGCCCCTAGAGGAGGCTACGGCCTGTGCATCAGCTGAAGCGAGGCTTCTGAAACATCACTGGCTGGAGACACAGGAAACATCAAAGTAAGTTCTGATTTGCAAAAATCACATATGCTAGTGTATGCACGGCCTCCCCGGCTCTTTCTGCTTGTTTAAATGTGCATAACAAGTCCTCATAAACATCAACAGCAATTCAGTTTTGAGTTTTATAGTATTCTGATTCATCAGGTTAAATCACTTATATTTGCTCATGATCTGTCAAGACGCAAACACCTGCAAGCCCATTTGCACTCACATGCACACACACACACACACACACGCACGCACGCACGCACGCACGCACGCACGCACGCACGCACGCACGCACGCACGCACGCACGCACACACACACACACACACACACACACACACACACACACACACACACACACACACACATTCGTGAGATGACTGTCTCTCACTATGTGTTTGATGCTGTGATACTGAATCTGTGATCTACAGTAATTACGTGTTTCAGAAAAGTGTTTGGCAGTTAAAATCTACAAAAATTCTAAAAGAAAACCCCAGCAAAAAGATTCTGCAGAAGTTCAGCACATGCTTTATCTCATTTAAAATGTGCAGAGGAAGTTTACATACTATAAGAGTCTAAAAGGCACAGCAGGAAAATAATACATTTAATTCTATGAGCCAGAGAAAGGGTGTACAATGTGCATATAAAACTAAATTATGCCTTTTTTTGGTGCAAATTATGGGTTATGGGTTAAAATCCTTTTAAAAAACCACACCAGTCTTAAGGTTCTAAACAGTCTTGATACTACTGCATAAAACGACTACAGCACATTTCACTGTAGTAACGAACAGCAGGCTGATTTTTTCCCACCAAAATGTATCTCGTTTTAAACATTTGTGTTTCTCAAGCCAAAAAGTCACTTTTCTCAGACTCTTCAAGTCTGCTCTTTCAAAATGTTCTCTCATATGTGGTCACACAATGTACAGCGTTTCATTAATTATACCGTTGACCAAGCACTTTTTGCGTCTGTGACTGTGGTTGACCAGTGGTTCACAACACATGAGAATAACCATGACTCTGTCGTACGTTTATGATGTCATTCATACAGAGTGATCACAATTATCTCACACACACAACCTTATGCGTGGGAATTTGGGTGTTGAGGGTTTCTTCAATGACCACTTCTTATGGTTGATTCTAATGCCCATTTTGGGCTGTCCCAGACTAAAGATGATCAATCATGGTGATTTCTGTGGTCGTGGCTCCTAAACGGTGGTCCCTCGTCATACAGTGATGAAGGTTCAAAGACGGTCGTTGTCACAGTCTTGCGACCAAAGATAGCCTGTGATAATTTTCTGACAGTGTCAGAAATTTAAAGGGATACTTCACCTCTGGAAAGATGAATGTGTGTTTAAAATGGGTCATTTATGTTGAAGAAATGTGAAATAATTTTTGAATTTGGAGCTTTCAAGACTGAGAAAAGCCAGAAAATGTATTTTTGGCTTATGTGGATGAAAGACAACAACTCCCAGAATGCACTTGCTTCGCTGCCCTAGGAGGCCACGCCTACCGGTAACAGAGCGCAGTAGTTAAACAACAAGTCTAGGCTACTAGTGAGTCTCCGTCTGCCCGAAAATGTGTTTCGAGATCGCCCAAAATGTCCGGGATTCGGCTTTTGGGTTCTACAGTCTGCATTCATTATGTTTACTGTGGCGAGCAGGACGAGTGAGGGCCGCGGGAGAACGGCGCGAGGCCGGTGGCGTGATTACTGATGAGCGACACCTGTGAGACGCACCGGTATGGTATCTCTCACGGAGGAGCGGGAATTTTCTTAGCAATGTTAAAACACACATCAACCGATCCCTTGTTTAGCGTTCATGTAAACACTACATTCAGATTCACCAATCGGAATGAATTCAGTTAGATTGAAACAAAAGATGTGCATGTAAACAATGAATGGCGACTGCAGAAAGCAAAAGCTGAATCCCGGACATCGACGGCCGGACATGTCCGGGAAAAAGTCGATGGTAACCCCTACTACTCAGCTTTCTCCACAGAACAAGAGCCTGCTAGCTTAGCTTCCAAAAAAAGATGGCCGACACTATGTGTACATTCTGTGAGTGAGAGCCCACCCTCTATGGGCGGGTTGAGAGCATGCGGGACAGCCCCTATACTGGCTGTCTTTAGCCTCTGGCCAAAAAATCCTCCGATGACGCAAAATGACGATTTTTGCGTCATCGGAGGATTTTCTCCTGACAAAAAATACATAAATCTCTCGTCTCAGGGGGATATGAGGGTGGAAAGCATGGTAATTCGAAAATACTACAGGTTTTCTACTAATACAAAGCTTAATGCTAAATCCTCAAGTATCCCTTTAACAATGATCATCTCACAGTGTGTTTGCTGCTACGACCTACGTCTACTGACTACCAATAAAAATGCAACATGAATGGCGTATTGATCAACGCGACATGACACTAAAACTTAAAACTGCTACTTACCTCAAGCTTCATTTGCAAGATTGGCATGCCAAGTTGGCCTCTTTTCCCTAGCCATGACCACGTCCATAATCTCCTCTTTCGCTTCCACCTTTTTCTTTTTTTCAGCGCGCATAATAACCACAATTGCCAAAGTGCGATTCACCTTGCTCTTATTGTTTAGAGCGCATGCTGATGACGTTTTAATCATCATAATCGAATACTAACTTGAGTCGTAGCCTACGAATCAATAGGTGTCATCATCGTACAGTCTATTGATCCATGTCGACCCATGTCGTACACTACAGTGTGATTTGTAATGATCTTATAGGATTGCCGAAATCTGTAGCAGGCATTAAATAAGAAGCATTCCTTTTAATTTTCTTAGGTGTAAGCCTTGAGTTATTAGGCACTATTACAAAGTTTAAAATTTAAGAAGTATCCTTTAAAGGTATATTATTTTATTTTTATTTATTATATATAAATATTATTTTTTATTATATATATATAATTATTTATTATATTTATAATTATTTTTTTTATATATTTTATTTTATATATTATTATCTTATATTATATTTTATAATTATTTATATTTTATATTTATTTATACTATATATCTTTTATATTATTCTATTTTTTTTTCTTTAATCTATTATAACTTTATATATTATTTATATCTATTATTTATTCTATAATTTATTTCTTTATATTCTTTTTATACTTTTATTTAATTATTTATATTTCTATTTTATTATTTATATTTATTTTATATATATTATTTTATTATTATATCTTATTAATTATATTATATTTTTTAATTTTTATTTCTATATAATACATCTTTATAATCTATCTATATAATAATTCATTTGGCATACATTTCTATTATTCAGCTCTATTTTTACAGCAGAACCGCAGTAATCCTCCACCACCGCTGGGAAATCTGACCCTCTAGGAAAACTTCAAAGCCCCTGGAAAAGACCCCTGAGCCACAGCACTGAGATGTATTTTCAGACTTGATGGAACCATTTTGATGGAGTAAGTGAGAGATGAGTTTCAGTGGGCACACGGTGGTCCCACCCTGACAATAGATGGATGTACGAGTGTCTTAATGAGGGAGAGAGAAAGAAAGAGATGGAGTGACCTTGCGGTGGGGCCTAAATTCACACTCCACCCCACTGGCTCCAAAAATAAGCCATGTCCCGCTTTCATAAATGCCCCTCGCCACAGCCGCCATAACTCAGGGCTTTCCCAAAACAAGAGCTCATGTGCCGGCAGCGTTAGGAAGTGTGTCTGCCTGCCAGCAACCGCTAGGGCCGTCCACCAGCGTCTGCTTACCACATTTTACCCAGAATACAATGCCCCTTTGTTTTTGCGTGCGGTGGGGCCTCTCTCAGCCGGAACACACACACAGAGAGAGAGGCAGAGAGAAGGGCGAAAAAGATAGATGGATAGATAGATAGATTGATGGATTGATAGATATGAAATAGCCAGTTCAAACCATGAGAGGAAAACAAATGCTGAGCAAAAAATAAAATTGAAAGCATGATAAAGTTGAAGAAAAGAAAGAGGAGAAATGGTGTGAGATATGGGAGGCCTTTCATGTGGTTTCATGCGGAATGCTGTCGTTCATTTATGCCTGCAACAAAAGCCACATGTTTATCTTTTTTTTCTTCGTTCAGACGAAGCGCTCCATCTCGCAAGCGCCTGAGAGGGAGGAGGTATGCTGTATATGAAAGGAATGATGGAATTTAAAAAGTAGGTCGACATAAAACAGAGGAATTCATCAAAACAGCACGCTTGTCAGAGCATGAACGCACGCTGCGAACACGCATTATTATGTTGATGCAGATTTTCTGACTGCAATGCACAAGGTGCAGATGCACAACATAACACGCCAAGATCATGGTTCGATTCACAGGGAATGAATTCATTGCTAAAAAGTAGACCTTCAAATGCAATGTAAGTCGCTTGGGGAAAAAAGCATTTGCTAAGTGCATAAAAACGTAATCATTTTAATGATTTCCACGTTTGTAATATGCTGCAAACTTTGAAAGTCTCTGAATTTCAAATATGGCCTCGAACAAAATTTTGACCTATTCTGCCTCTAAACAACTTTCCTTTATGACTGATCTCAACAAGCCCTCTTCTGGTGTGTTTGTAAACTCGACACAGAAGGTGTTGTTCTGTTAATGTTAATCGAGCTAATCAATTTGAGAGCATGTAAAGTCTTTACCATTGAGTTTTAAAATGAGCTTGTTAACAGACTTGCTGCATGTTTAATCACTCATAATGGGCTTGCCAAGTTTGACTTCCTATCAGTGGCCGGTAAAAGTGTTTACACTGCTGAGCTAATTTTTGCTTGCAAACATATTTTTCCTAAGAAGTAAATGGAAAAATAATTGAAGATTTAAAACATTACATGTGCTGCTCTTCTGAAGTACCAACCCGTAAATGATATAATAAATAAAAAATTACTTGCCAGTTGGCCTGTGAAATTCAATATAATAAATTCGGTAAAGTGCAAATTAAAGTAACCGTATACTAAAGAAAACATCTGTTGTGAACTCT